TAAAAAAAAAAAAAAAAAGAAAGCAATTAAACAACATCGATCAAAACCCTTATCAGGTTCCTGTAACATTTAATTGAGAAAAACGTTTTACCCCGCAGCTTTATTTTAGTGTGTAGTGTAATTTTCTAACCAACACCAATGGTCCTTCCACATGTACTACAGTGCTCTCACAAGGTACCAGGTGTCAGACAAACTGATACACTATATGTTCTTCAGAAATGTAAGTAAACAGTTAATTACTCTCTCTAAGTAGATACACTTAACAAACCTCATCATATGAAGCTGTCAATATATTTGCAATAGTGCCATCTAGTGTGAAAAGTCAAAACTGGACACGTCAGGCTCACTTCAAATTGTTAACATACCAGGATAAGGATCTTTATTTTCAAATAAATGAGTCCAATAGGATTTGAAAATTATAGCCACATGGCAAAATTAAAGATCCTTATCCTTGTGTTAAAGCTTTTTGAATTGAGCCTGTTGTAAAATATTGTCGCAATTTGAAGGAAACATGGAGATACAAATACGGAGGCTGTCTATGGCCAAAGGACAGAGGTTGTATGCATCAGGGGCGTAAGTAGAAATCACAGGGCCCCATAGCAAAGTTTTGTATGGGGCCCTGGGATTTCTAGTTATGCCCCTTGCAGAGCCCACCTGATATCCCAAACAGCCCACCTGAGAGTGACCCTGCAGAGCCCACCATAGACTCTCTATGTGGGGCTCTGCAGGGTCTCAGATGGGCTGGTCACACCCTTGCACACCTCTTACCTGTCAGCCCCGATTCGGAGCCCGCCTCCTCCTCCTCCACGGTCGCTGGCGGGCCCCGCCTCCTCCTCTGTCGCCGGGCCCTGCCATCTCCTTCGCAGCCGACGCGGGGCCCAGCCTCCTCCTCCACAGCAGCTGACTGTCACTGACTCTGCAGCGACTGTGAGCAGGAACGCACCGCTGCACAGATCACTGACAGGTTGTCAGTGATTTGAACAGCAGCGCGTAACTCCTTACAGCCGCCAGTGACAGCCAGCAGCCTGAGATGCCATAGCGACACAGGAGGCCCGCACGGCATCAGGGGGACTCCTTTGTTCCTCATCCTGGCTATGCCCCCCTGTGCATCACAGCTATGACTGTACCCGTGCACATAGGTGAACAGACTAACTTCCCCCCCGCCCCCATTTTACTGTGCTGAAATACATAATCCTATTGGGTAGAGTATTAGGGCAGAAACGAGTTGTAATAAGAAGAACCTTCATGGCGATAGCTACTCATGTTATCCAATGCAGCTGATGATGAATACAGCACACCAGCAATTTTTAGCGGCATAGATAAACAATGTTGTTGGCTACAACAGCTAGCTACAAATCACCATACAAATCAAGAAGAGTGATTTATAGCTGCTACAAATCTCTGCTACTAAGTTTCTAGTGTGCGAGGGAGTAAGGTCAAAGGTTTTATTCTTTACACCAAAGAAGTACTAAAACATTATCTATACAGGTATTCCTCACTTAACGACCGAGTTCCGTTCCTACGACCAGGTCGTTAAACGGATTGGTCGTTAAGTGAGGAACTCTATACAGTACTGTACTGCATTAGTACAGTACTGTATATCGTTGCCGATGTACAGTAACGAACAGTGTACTGTACATCAGGCAATGAAAATACTTACCAGGACCCGCAATGAAGATCGGAGGACACCACTTCCGCCGGCGACACGGCGCACTGACGCTGACGCGCAAGGTCGGAGGTCGATCGGCGCTCCGTCGTAAGTGCGAGTGGTCGCAAAACAGGTAAGTCGGTAAGTGAGGAACATCTGTAATGCATAAAAAATCAGAATAAAGGATCACCAGCTTTCCAGTCTACTTATCTCCTAATATTATGCTATCGATGTTACATACAATTTCTGTGTGTGAATGTATTACATTTTATGTGAGCCCATATACCTTTAGATTCCTGTAGACAGAGGAATATAAAATGAATTTGTAATCTGTGTGGCCATTTCTTTTGGATCACAATGCTAAGCTCAGACTTTGAAAATCCACTTCTTAAAGTAAATTCAAATGTAGTTTAAAGTTCAAAAGGGTGTTGAGTTTAAGTCAGCTCAATACATACCAGGTCCATCAAAACAAAAGGTGTTCAAAGTCTCACAATTCATTTTGTTAAGAAAGCAGGCACAGTCTGAGTAGAAGAGCCTGTCCCCTGCCAGCATACTGCAAAGAAGGACTGTTGCTTTCAGTGTGGAAGCAGTGGCCTCTCTGCAAATACATTAGTGTATATAAATAATGTAAATACAATATAAAATAATATGCAAACAAAATCGTA